GTATTGTGTATATTTCGGACTCCCTTCCTTGCAGACAGCAGTATGTTTTCTTTTTCTGATGGATCCTTTCTACTACATCTCATGTCACCTCTTTTTTCACAGAGTTCGGCTACAAAGATGAGAACATCACAAGAGATTGACATCATGTCCAGTCGTGTTCGTGGCTGAGAGGGATTTTTTTTTACATGACATGTACTTACTGTATCGCTTGAAATCCTATGTTGACATGTTGAATTGCACGCTCGCTCGATCTCTCATCACACTGGCTTTTGCCCAAATCACACTCGCTGGATCAAAGAAATTAATTAAAATGTATTTTCGTTGATCGCCCATCAAAGGCCTTGCTCGAATTTTGCTAAATACAAATATAATAGCTGAAGGTACATCGGATTTTGAAAAATATTATGCCGGACATTGGCCGGGCTCGAAAGTTGAGCCGTAACCAATCATCCACCGTAAGAGCGGACGATGGCTCGCGTTTCGCTTCAGCATTCGGACGAGAAAAAGGTACATTTTACGTAATTTACACGAATTTAGTGGATATTGCATCTACTGTTCTACACTGTGATGGGGATGTGTTTCAGAATATTGTACAGCAGCCATGAGTGCGATGGTCAGTGAGCGCTGTGGTGTACGACTGGAACACACTCGGCATGCACGGCAATGGCTGTATTTGAACTCCGTTAAGACAATGGGTTGTAGTACAGAGTGGTTGCACGTGAGTGTGATACCGCCGCAGTAACGGGACAACAGCAGGCTGGATATAGCAAGCAACCACTGGCTTCATAAAAACAGACGCACGCCAACACTCCAGTCTCGTCTCGATCATGAGCTCTGCAACACAAACGCCTGCTCACTTCCATCCTGCGCGTCCACCTCGTCCTGCAACTATCGCACAGCTTGCCGACCGCGCCCTCTTCAACCTCTGGGATCCCTCAAAAGGTCTCAAACTCTGGCTCAAAACAGCAGATGCTTTCAGAAAAACTGGCAAAGCGCATGCCGATGCTGGGGATCTCGAGGCTGCTTTCGTAGAATATGCAAAAGCAGCTACCATTATCCTAGAAAAACTACCCTCACATAAGGATTACAACACGCTCTTGACATCCACACAGCGCCAAAACCTCGGCTTGGTACGTCCTTCTTCCCCTATCTCTTCTCTCCAAACAAGCTCAGCATGCCACAGAATGGTCAGAATATACTCGATAGCCTCAGCGAGCTCAAACCAACGCTGGTAGATCGCTACGAACGATGGGCTGCACAGCATCCAGAAGAAGTCAACAGACCGCCACCATCAACGTCTCAACCAGATACCCGACGCCAAGAGGAGGATACTAGACGTGCACAGCAGGATGCATGGCAAGAACAAAAGGCTCGCCAAGACGAAGATAGACGCAGAGAAGACGCCTGGCGCAGGTCAGAAGACTCACGACGTCATTCCCGAGCTAGGCCAGAGTCGTCCAGACAGCCAAACCAGGACGCTGAAAGACGTCAGAGAGATGATACCAGAGCAGAGGATTACCAGAGACATCGTCAGGTCGACCCAGAGAGCAGGCGGAGAGACGAAACTATCGCTGTGGCCAGACGGGCAGCGGATGTGGCGCAGCAGGAAACGAGTTACTACAGACGCATACAACATGATGCTAGTCCCATGTCCACAGAAACTGCAACCAGTTCAGATGAAAACAGGAGAGATCAAGATGCTAGAAGACAGCGGGAAGACATGAAACGTCGAGAAGAGGAAATAATTAAACAGAGGCGAAAGCGAGAGCAAGAAGGTATCTTGAGAAGACAGGAAGAGGCTGATATAGCAGCGCGAGCGGCACGGGTGAGCATAACGCCCGCTGTACCGACCATCTCTACTTCAGCCACCTCAAATCCTCAGCGGTCGGCATTCTTAGAGCCGAGGCCTCATGACGATGCCAGTCCGCTTCCCATGCCCCTAGAGAGTCCTACGCGGTATGTGTCGTGGTATTTGCACTCTGGGTTGAGCATTGATGAAGGTTGTGTCATGTAGGCGCCAACCTGACACCACTCCCACTGGACCAGGGAGAGGGTGCGTGTGCGTTCCCCACGTGTTCTGATTTATACTCACGTTTTCTTTGTCCTCAGACCTGCTTATCCCGCTCCCGTTACCACAACCTCACCCCCACCTCCAGAAGGAGCAGTTCGCTATCCTCAACTGATGTCTCAACATCAATTGAAACAGGGGTACGCCCCATCTTTACAGTCCATGTTTAGTGGTCCTGGTCTCAAACCAAGTAGCATGGCTCCTTCGTCTCTGCTTTTCATACCCGACTCGTCACCTTCCTCGTACTCTGGTCGTACTACTACATCAGGCAATCTCTATTCTTCAGATACACTACCTCAGCCTTCTGCACCAGTCATACCTGCCCCGCCCGTTCAATATCCATATGGCGCACCCCATGGCCAAGATCGCAGCATGCCCGCTCCACCTCACCCTCCACCACCACCGAAGGGTTCCTACCAAGGGCTGTCCAAGACACCTCAAGGCCTCCCTCCGCCTCCGCCATTACGGCAACTAGAAGGAGACCGGTACCGCACACCCTCTCAAGAATCTGCACGGATCATTCGCCCCCAGAATCCCAAAGCCGCCGATCCCTCGCGTGACCTAAAGGCCGTTAATTTGCCCCGAGAATGCCTCCAACGTTTCCTATCCATCGCCGCTCTCAATACCTCCCGTAACCGGGAAACATGTGGTCTTTTGCTCGGGAAGGACAAGGGTCATAAATACGTTGTGACTACATTATTGATACCGAAACAGCATTCTACGAGTGACACGTGCACCATGGACGAAGAAGAACTCGTTTTGCAGTTCACGGAAGAGAGAGCTTTGATCACCTTGGGCTGGGTACGCTTTTTTCCGAAATCCATTTTTGATTTGCCGCAACTGATCGGTACCTTTAAGATCCATACCCATCCTTCGCAATCTTGTAAGAGTATATTTTTATGTGGTCTAATTCCAAGCCAGCTCATGAAATTTTCTCACAGGCTTCATGTCCTCGGTGGATCTACACACACACTCTGGGTTCCAACGCATGCTTCCAGAATCGTTTGCCGTTGTTTGTGCGCCAAAGTCGACTCCCAAGTATGTCGTTTTTTATTTATTTAGATTTGTGGAATTTGCGTGTTTACCGCCCCTTTGCAAGTTTTGGTATATTCCGTTTGACAGATCCTCCTGGTTTACAAACCATATTAGATTGCAATGCCAAAGAGGCATTCCACCCACATCCAGAGGTCCCGATATATACAGTGCGTATTTGAACATCTACTGCACTCCCAGCTGATCTGATATTGATGCAACTCTTGTTATATTAGGACGCTGACAAGGGTCATGTCCAAATGAGGGACATGCCACTTGAAATCGTCGACCTGCGGTGAAAACTTCATGCAGCTTATTTTCCCTCGTTTCCGAACTTCTTGTTTCGATCGGTTCTGATGTTGGGCGACTCTTTGATTATATTTACAGTCATGGCTGGCGGCGTGTGTGTACATGCCATATTGTTCTTTACTCTTAATGGATCGTGGATTGCATTGAGCTTTTGGAGTATCTGTTACGCTTATACTTTTCGTCATAATATATAGCCGTTTGCATCCTGTGAAATTGCGATTTTGTTTGACGAATAATGGGTCCGGTGATGGTATATTGTATCCTGCACTATATTACATTTTTTGAACCGATTGTTGTCTAGGGAAATGTCACGATGTGAGGAGAAATCAGAAATAAAACCTTGTTCGGGCTCGGAGGTATATCATGCTTCCCAGTCTTCAAAAAGCGACAGCTGCTTCCACTCTTGCACAACCTTCGCAGAGCAAGAGAGCGGATGATCCACCAACGAGTGCGAAAGCCTCGACCTCGTCAACCGATCCCACCCGTGCGCAGCCGGCGTCGTCTTCTCTTCAGCATTCCTAGGCATGGCTCTCAGACGGCTGACGAGGTATTCGGCGGTGGGCCGGGCGGCGGCGTCCTTTAGCCAGCAGCTTTGGAGGATGGCCCACAGGGTGTCGTCCAGACCCCGGGTTTGGCAGAGGGAGAGGGGCGGTCGGGGCGGTCTGGCGCCGCGGGTGACGCTTTGCATCACGTAATAGTCTGATTTTACCTCGTGGAAAGGGATTTCGCCCGAGTATATCTGAGGATATGAGGGGGAGATTCGCGTCACTGCACAGACAATCCTCGAGCGGTGGAAAATGGTTTACCTCGTATCCAACACACCCGAAAGAGTAAACGTCGCTCGCAAAGGTACTTCGAGTGTTTTCCGCCTCGTAGTTCAGGAGTTCGGGAGCTTGCCACCTCAGCGTCCCTGTCACCCTCGCGTTTGGAGTCGAGGACGACATGATCAGCTCCGAATCCCTCGCGCTTGCGAGGCCGAAGTCGGTAAGACAAGCTCTGCGAGAACTAGTGATGAGGATGTTTTCCTGGGAAGCAAAGGCAAAGCCTAAATGAGCGGGTTTGTGATTTAAGGATGGGATTGGGGCTCACTCCTTTTAGATCGCCGTGGACGATACCGGGCTTCCCAGAGTGCAGATACTCGAGGCCACGAGCGATGTCTAACATCTGCAAGAATAGAAGACTTGATATCAAAACTCGATAAGATTCAACCTTTTTTCTCGAATATCCGCACCAGATAGCTTCGTTCAATATCGGGTTCTCGCCTCAAATACTGAACAACATTCCCGTTTTGCATCCAAGGTGAGATGAGGCATATTCGCGTCTTGCTGGCATTGAGGTAATACACTCCATAGAACGGTATCAAATTAGGGTGAGACAGCTGACGCCAAATGATGATTTCGGCCGAGAAGCGCTGGGGAAAAAAAAGTCAAGATTGCTTGCCAGTGAGGAGACGATCGTGATAACAAATGGGCATAGAGTACCTTGAGAAGTTCCTTTACGTTCGATCTCTCGTATACTTTGAGCACTTTCATCGCGATAACCTCGCTGTAGAAAGACCCTTTCCAGACCTCACCAAAAGAACCTGCGGCGACGGGATCTTCCCCGAGTCTGGTCACCTCTTCAAGCACCATGCAGTCTGGGAAACGTCCAGATTTACTGGATAACCTGATCAGGGCGCTCGTAAAACGGCGTTTCAGACTTGGGCTCAAAGAGGCATAGTCTAATATCTGTAGATTTAAGAGTACAGACATTATTAAAAGGAGAGAAGCGATGGTGAATTAACAAACTAACCGCTTGAAGGAGATTTACCAAGGAGTGCGCTTCATCCTCCCTCCGTGCGAAAAACTCGCCTCGCTCAGGTTCTTCTAACACCTTAGCCAGCATGATGCAGATATCCATAATATCGATCGAGTGCAGCAGTGTGCCAGTCAGAACGTCGTTTACACCACATTTATGGCGATATTCTGGAGACTACAGCAGGATAGCTTTGCATTGATAAGAGATAGACCTCGATAGTGAAGGTCTCTAACCTTTCGAAAAAAAGACTGTAGTCGGTCTTTCACTTCCTTGTACTTTGCCAAGATACTAACAGTGTCCCATGTACTCCAAACCTGTACGGCATCCTCGAATGATTCAAGGGGACTAAAGAGAAATCAGCACGAGATAAACACGGGAAAAGAATGTAAATACGCCGGGTTGCTGTAACAGAACTTCAAGTGCACGAATACGGATACGGCGAGTACCTTTTTGATATTGATATTCAGTTAGATTGATTATCAAATAGCCGCTCAGCAGATATAACGGTACCCACCTTGAAAATGGGTAAACCATCTACCAGACGCATGCATGAAAGCTTGTCTGCTGGCGATAACAACGAGAAGCTAAAACAAAAATAAACTGTCGGTAGTCTATATTTTATATATAACGGACCATACTAACTTCTTCAATTCACCATAGATATCTGATGATATGGTAACATCATGAGGCTGTTGCGGGAATGGCAGCACAAGGGACGTTGTGATGATGTCAAGGATATTTGCTCGGCTTTGCAGTGTTGCTGACTGACTCGAGGACCTGGCATCTGGTAAAGCTAAAGAGTCACTGAACAACTTGACGAGCCCATTCAAACGGAGGGGGAGACTGTTCGGTAACGGTGGGCATGGCCAATATGATACCTTCGATGTGCCTTCTTTATCAACGTATGGCCGCCACTGATCGACGTGCTCTTGCAGTGCCTGGTTGAGGTATTGCCAATCGTCTAGTGTGAGGCAGGAAATGTATTCTCGCCAGTCCTTCGGGTATTTGTTGACCCATGGGAGGTATCGAGAATCTGAACTGACTTGGACGATATGTTTGCTCAGCCAGTCCTCGTCATCTTGATTCCAGGAGTATGCATAATACAGTTCGTCAACGGGGGAATTGATGATACTCGATATCAGATTCCGCGTTGTACCCTCGTTCGTCGAGCAGAGGCTCCTAAAGATCAACCAGACCATAACGAGCCATAAGGGTGGCGCTCCATATGTTGGTGCAGGACTACGACTTGAGTAATCAGGGCGTGTGGTTATACCAGAAGGCAGAGAGATGCGCGGAGCAGAAGAGAAGCGATCAAAGAGAAGCCGAACGCTGCAAGTCCGAGCCTTTAATATAAGTTACACCGTAAGCGAAGACCAGCGGCGAACCTGTCAACACAGCAATCTTTATGGCCTGTCACCCTTCTGCAATAGTCGGAGATTCTCGTCCTGTCATATATCTGTGAGATAACGGATATCCAAGGTATAAGATTCTGATATCGAGAATGGAATTCTATCGCATGATCCTGCGATATCTCCGCAAGTAAGTCGTCGATACCGAAAACAGGGGTATAAACAAGATTGTAGGCATATTTATACCAATCGCCTACAAGCTCTGCCAAAGCCCACCTCTCAGAGTCTGCAAGCCCTAGTCGTGCTTCCGCGTCTGCGATGTAAATAGAAGTGATGAGTAGCCAGGCAATAGTGACAACTCGTTGCGTAAGTGATGATGTATGTACGGCGTTGCGGAGTCCTGGAGAAGCGATTCGACGTTCCAACGCTAGACGTACTGCCTCCCAATTTTCAGAAGACAGAACATTCACCGCGTCACGAAGTGGTTCGGGATAAAGATCCACATGTGTTCCATAGTTTTGAGAGCTCAAACTTCCTGACTGCTTGATGTTGTGCAGCATCCAGTTTTCGTCCCCGTCTGTCCATAACCACAAGTCCGGATTGCTAGACCCTTCCACAATCCGCAGCCAAGTGTCTAGCGCGAGATGGTGGTTATGTCTGCAACTTGTGTACACCAGCTGCCATATGAACGCGAGCCTTACATGCGGGTGACCTTGCCCCTCGAGCGACAATCTCCGAGCACAATCCGGATCATCAACCGAAGCAATAGCGCTGTAACGGCGGATGTGCTCGACGAACATGTTGGGCAAGTTCGACAGACTGATACCACGAGTGCCAAAAAGACGCTTCGATACTGAAGGCTATGAATACACGTTTAGTTCATTGCTCCGTTATTTCAGTGCTAGAACACAGAGGTAAGACGATTTACTCACCATGAAAACGATAAAGACTAGCTTCTGAATCCTAACTGTTTGAAGTCTGCTCGAAATTCGGACACATTAGCACCCTTATAACAACCTCGTGGCCAACATGCTGTAAAGGGTTACCACTGCCATGCTGTAATCATCGAAGGTCCTTTGAAGGCTAGACACACTGCACAAGCACGAGGAATAAATTTCTACCTTGGAGAGCCACGACTTAGGAGTTAATGACAGCAACTCACAGCCAGCGCATCAAAGAACTATGGAAGGTCATAAAGATAATAAGATTTCTGGATGTTGTCATCGCAAAGTTGGCGGAGAGCGCAACTAAAGATATATAAAAAAAGGAACTCCACCTTAGTGGTAAATTAGACGCACGTAGCTATTATGTTAGAGACGTTGAACTGCAAGCGTAATATCATCCATCCATTTATCTGGCATCTCCATCGCGATGTTACGCAGAATTCTACCTTTGTCTTCTTCAATAGCATCACCATCCACAATTACCTTGCGCACTACTCTGGCGGGGCCATCTCCGTCAAGAGCGTCGCGTAACAAAAGCAATGGGGCGACATCGGCATCGCCACGAGCGATGCTGTCACCCACAATCTTGACCCAGCGGGCCACAATCTTATCTAATGGACCAGTGCGTTGTTCATCGTACATATAGAGATCGACAAGTCCGTCGGAACAGAGAATTAAAAAGCTCTCTGTGTTGTCGAGAGATTTCATATCCACATGCCGAACGTCAGCTTCATTTGACAGGTAAGGAGGCGTTTTATTGCGCGCGATAAATTCCAGTACATTGGAGGAGACGCGAAATCCAGGCTGAGTGTTCAAAAAAACGCGCCGCGTATACACCGCAGGTATCTTGAATTCGTGATCTCCCAAAGCTACGGAATATGGTGGTCTGTGAGCCACGAAGGCGAAACAAGTAAAATCAACCGACCTCGAGTAACGGCAATAGCACCTAAAACTCTGTCATTCATGATACAATCTTGCTCTCCTGGATGTTCGCGTTGGACGCGATCAGATTCGTCAATATCGTGGCCATTGTGATCAGAACTGAGGACAGAAGAGTGCCATAAGCCGGTCGAGTCCTTCCTTCCAAGTACTTCACATGGAAAGGATAAACAATTGTACGATACAGAAGACAAATATGCTTACTAGCTTGACAATCACCAAGGCTTGCAACCCATAAGTTTCCGCCGCTTGGATCTCGAAGGGAAAACAAAAGTGTGCTGCCTCGCATACAGCGGAGAACCTTGATATTGTTCTTTCCACCAGAGTCGAAATCATTGACAATGGACTTGATCTCGTCGTCGGATAGTAATTGCAGGGCCTCAACTCCTCCGGGAAAAAGGTCGAGAAAATCACTCAGAATCTGATTGTCATAATCGATGATAGCTTTTCTGATAGTATCAGTGACAGCTGACGAAGAAGAAGAGAGGTCGTCGATATGTTCTAGTGCAGCGGACAAGGCGGTCTGAAGGAAGGCAGGGAATGTTTCAATAGCGTAATTAACGCACTCTTCGCCTGCATGACCTATAGAGTAGGAGGGGATGAGACGAATAGTAAGATGATATGATAAGCAGAACTTGCCATCGAAGACTCCGATCATCCGCCAAATCCCGTTCGGCAGTTGTAGGTGACGAAGAAGATACCTGTCCTCATTTGCTTTAATTACATTTGGCACAGATATACACGTTGTCCTGAAGGCGGTGTGATATGTGTTCTCCGCCATGTTCGTGGTAGAAATGAACGAGGTTGATATGGAGTGCTTCTGATAGCTGAACGTAGTAGATGCACGCTATTTATGAACAGGACCTGGGCGAAGGGTAGTGAAGAATACGGAGTACGCTTCACATGAAACCAAGAAGCGGGGCGTGGGTCAGCCTTTTGGTCCTTGGTGCTCGGTGAGATGAATATGGCAGGAGCACTGGTGTGGTCAAAGGGCGACTGGGGGGAAGCGAGGTCAGGTGCCTGGGAGCCAATAGACCATAGATAGCAGGTGCTGTATAGTCATGCGCACGCCCTACTGGGAGCGGCATATACCGTGGCGCACGACACAGACATAAGCCCAGCACAATCCTGTGTTCTTGGCGCCCTTCCCTCCACAGTATCCGTCCTATCAAACAAACCTGTATGTCTAGCGATACAGATTGCGGAAAACATAGCAGATAAGAGTGTGGACCCGATAATGCTGGTGGTATCAAACAGAATGGTCGCATATGAAAGCGGATGCTGAGGGAAGCCTTTGGACAACATGGACAAACAGCTTACCTTTTACGGAACTCACCTCCTGCACCACACCGGCCCGCTCCTTTTTTCGAACATCAGTATTTATCCCCGCTTGTCATCTGATAATCCCTCAGGATTTGTTCATCGATCTTGCATTTATAGTAGCCTTGCAAAAATGTCGCAGTTCTCAGAAGAAGACATACAGGAAGAGCAAATTCACTTTTCAAACGTTATCACGACGTTCAATCAATACGCCCAATACTCGGTATATCTCCTATCAATCGGTTTAATCTTCCAAACACTGACAAAGATCAGCTCAATGCCAATAATCGCCGAAGAAAGGATCTCTATACTCTCCCCCAGGCAGACAAGGACCTTCTCGATGATTTGGGATATAAACAAAAGCTTTCTGACGTTGACAAAGCTATTCTAGCCAATGCTTCGTTCTTGAATCAGATAATAGCCAATCCTGAAATTTTTGGTCACGAGCTCCCCACAGACGGGGCCGACATAGATGAGGCCGACCCATCAACCCCTGGAAATGCGTCGTCTGGAGGTTCGTTCAGTGCTTTGATGTTGATTGGTGACTATCATATAGACCTTTGATTTACCAGGGCACTCACACTCTAATGCACATAGTCACTCTCATGGTCATTCTCACAGCCACAGCTCCCCAGTATTTTCGGACGGCCATGGCCAGTCTCAACGTCCCAAAAAATACAGACCAACCGATTTTGATATGGACAAGCTAAGGAGCACCATAAAGCAATTCGTTCGAGACTGGAGTGACGAGGTAAATTTCTCTGACATACTATGCACTGTGATTATATATTCGTTACTAAGGGAAAAGAAGAACGAGAAGCTTGTTACAAGCCTATGAAAGACGCCTTGCTTGACCACTTTTCTGATATCCCGTTCGAAGAAAGGTACAAGCTAATTTCAAATACCATCTTTTAGCCTTCTCATCCTTCCATTCTATAGACGCAACTTCAGAGTACTTGTTCCTGGTGCTGGCTTAGGTCGTTTAGCATACGACGTGGCGAATCTAGGTTAGCAACGAGCTCGTATGGCTCATATCTTCCTTTTATTCACCCTTTTATCACAGGATTCGCATGCCAGGGAAATGAATTCTCTCACTATATGCTTTTGGCCTCGTACTTCATATTGAACAGGTTTGTCCTTACCCGCACTTGTAGTAAGTTTGTGCACCTTGGATAACAAACCTCGTACACGGATGACACAGGACGGACCAAATCGAGCAGCACACGGTGTATCCATATGTCCATTCATTCTCCAATGTATCTTCCCGGGAATCAATGCTACGAGCGGTTCGCATACCAGATGTTTTGCCATCTGCCCTACCACCTGGGTCAGATTTCTCTCTTGTCGCTGGTATGATCAGACCAATGGCTAGATATATCAAGCTCTGAAATTCTCTTTTTAGGTGACTTCGAAGAAATTTATGGTGCAGAAGAAAATAGTGTAAAGGGGCAAGAGCCACAATCAGGCCAGTGGGATGCTGTGATGACATGTTTTTTCATAGACACCGTAAGTCTCAGCTGATATCGACCTGAATTACGCTGATTAGTGGTTTAGGCCAAGAATATTGTAAACTATCTTCGAATCATTCATCGGATACTAGCGCCAGGTGGTGTCTGGATCAACATGGGTACGCTATCATACCCTTTTTTATTCTAGTAGCCTACATGAAGCGTGTCTCTATAACAGGCCCTTTGCTGTGGCACTTTGAGAACAATGCTACCAATGACCCCTCAGTCGAGCTCGACCTCGAAGAAGTCAAAACACTCGCTCGCAAGATTGGATTTGAGCTATCTGTCAGTACCATTCCACTCATCCTGTTGTCGTACTCGTTGTTTACAGTCATATATCTTAGAATGAGCGGACGATAGACACAACTTACACAAGTAATGCACAAGCCATGCTTGGCTACGTGTATCATACTTCGTTTTGGACAGCCAAGAAACTGCCTTAGCCAGCATTTCTTTGAAATCAAAAATTCTCACAACTGTAATTTAGGATAATGATATTTAACAACATTTGATCAAAATATTGCACTTTCATTAGTGCCCCTCCACTTCTTTTTAATCCGCAGGTTTTATAACTTGCTATAAATCAAGCAAGTTACCTCAAGTTATCACAATTTCTATTTGATATTTACCTTCATAATTTTTCCCTACAGCTTTCTTCTCAAAATAATCGTGAGTTTCGAGTCCTGAAGTATCTCTTATCTGAAGAGTACTCGTTGATGACAGCAGAAACTACTATACACGTTGCTCCTATGGCATTAAGCTGTAATACCATGGCATCTGTGAGTGATTTTGCGCAAATTCCTCTTATCTCATGTGGGGCATATTCCCATCGCCTTGGTTTTATTAAGATACGATTTTCCGGCACTTATATCGATGTCAGTATCAGCGCTCAGCGTCTGATAAGATACCAAGCCATCGTGGTCAGCCGGTGTGCCTGATTTCTCCTCATGGCATTTCGTGGGTATTGGTATGTTCAAGTTACATCTCCATACTTATCTCTCCATCCAGTGTCACGAGACTGAGGCCAATCACTGGGTTGTTGTGACCCATAAGGACAGCGGCTGAGTTCCCTTGGCCAGTGTGCTCTCTTCCTCATCGTATCATGACTACTAAGCCTCCAGTTCGCGAGTCATTTGGACGAGTCTTTCATAATACTAACAGCAATTATAGTCTCCCGTCCGTCGCCTTCTTTACTATCGTATTTATTTCATATATTTTATATTCCCTGGCATTTCTACAGGAACGACGAGAAAGAGCACAACCGCTTGAATTTACAGCATGAAGCGCTAAAGTATTTGACTGGTGAGCTCTCCCGTGGTTTGTAACAGACAGGCTATTCATGGCTGCCTGCCATGGGTAGGTGCCAATTACTTTGCTCCGTTGACTCATCACCACGGTATGCTTTCTTATCGAGTGAAATAATCACTCGTCATTATCACATGACTTTCCAGACGGTATACGCAATATCCTCGATCTGGGATGCGGAAGTGGCTCCTGGGTTTTCGATGTCAGTGGCTTTGCAGAAATAAGTAATAGAATGCTCACGATAGCGAGCTACGTTTCAGATATCTAGAGAATTTCCTGAGGCAGAGGTAATTGGTGTAGACATGTCTATCCCTGAGTCGTACGTTCGCCGACTGCACGATCCGATCTTCAAGTAGTAACCATCTAGATATAACCAGCGCCATCTCAGCTCCGAAAAACCTCAAGTTTATACAATTTGATATCAGTGAGGATATTTTTCAGACCTTGATATCTGCTGTGTTGCTTGCATGTTGATGTATGTTGTAGCATCGACGTTCCCCTTTCCCGACAACTCCTTCGACTTTGTCCAGATGCGCATAGTCCCAAGTGTAGGTCTTCTTCATCGCTCACCTCTTCATTAACGTATCGACGAACCTCTTCAGATCGCCCACAGAGACCCTATCTTGCTTGAAATCTGGCGCGTTCTCCGTCCAGGTGCGTGCGTCACCACCACACACATCCTATTAGATGACGTACCACTCCGCACACCTCGACATAGGCGGCTTCGTCACGTTCGTGGAACCCGGTCGCGTGTTCTCTAGCGCGTTACAGACCCGCACCCCTGCATTCAAGGAAGCCGATGACCTCCTCGAACTATCCCCCCACGCCCCTCGCTCACAGACGGGCGAAGAGAAGACGTGGTCGATTGCTCATCTGATCGCTGACATGATACGCGATGTAAAGGACGCTCGGGGGCAGACACTATTCGAAAGGACTGATTCCAAAGTGTTCAATATTCCCATTGGTGACTGGCCTGAAGGTTATCTTCTTTTCTTTCCCCCCCCTTTGGTGTGTATAGGACGCAAGGCTGAAGCGCATGTGACAGATCCAGAGGAGGCAAAGCATGGAGGGATGATGGGTAGCGTTCAAATTAGTCTTCTGGAAGGGTTTGGCCCCAAATATGTGGAAACAGGATCAACCACTGAAGAGGGATTCGCATCGCTGCGTGAAAGAGCCATCGCTGAACTAGCAGACCATAGCTTGAAGCTCCAAGCGCCATTCGTATACGCCTGGGCCCAAAAACCAGCACGTCCGACATGATCGATGTTTACAGCACTCGAACATTATACTTTTATTTCCGGATTTTGTAGATGTTCTGTTATGTACATCGAAGGCCTCTTAGCGAGGATATAAAGTGCTGATAGCGAAAACCCAAAGCCCCTCATACAGAAGTCGACTGCTGCTCTTTGACACGCAGCTCTTTCTTCTTCTTCCTCATTCTCTGGCTCTCCTTGATCCCAAACCCATTCCTGAATACGTTCTGCACTTCTTCGAGACTCAGCCCGGCCGTCTCAGGGAAACAGAACAGACAGAAGAGCCAGCCTAGCAGACACAGCCCAGCGTAAAACCCAAATGCACCGGCGGGTGTGATCTTGGCCATGAGTGAGAGGTACGTGGATCCGATGAGGAGATTTCCAGCCCAGTTCGTGGCTGTTGCGATAGACGTGCCAATTCCGCGAACTGAAAACAGAGGTTTCATGCTTATGAGTGAGTATCGAACAAAACTCCCAAGAAACACTACCTTCGAGACCAAAGAGTTCGCCCTGCTGCCAAGGGACGTTTCCCAAGCCAGTAGCGTATGATGCGACGAAGACGATCATAGAGAACAGGACGATAGCAGACCAAGCTCTCGAGTAATCCGAGCCTGTCACGAGTTCTCCGCCTGTGTGCCTCGTCATGTCTTTGTGATAGTATTAATATCAGCCGTCACTATCTAGGGCGACCTGGCGCTGTGAAAGTTTCAAGCTGACTCACAGTGGAAAGCAATACTGGCTAACGTCAGCCCGAATATCATCCCAGGAGCGGATATCACCATGATTTTGCGACGCCCGATGAGGTCGATATATTTCATCGCGAATAGTGTAAAGACGAAGTTGGTTCCAGAAACGATCAAGCCCACGGCGGTTGGCTGGTTAAAACCAATCTCCTGGAAAAGGGAGGCAGAATAGTACATCAGAGTGTTGAACCCGCATAGCTGCTGAAATGCTTGCATGCCACAGCCAACGACTAGAAGATCAGAGAGTTGTCAGCAACTGTACCAGAATAGCAAATATGGGAAAGACGAGGACGTACTGAGGGCACGCCGATTAATTGGAATGGATATCATGGAATTAAAACGTTGCCAGAATGTCGTTGTATTCGTTATGTCTATGCTCTGCTGTACTGCAGCACGTAATACTTTTACCTGGGAAACATAAGTGGTTTGATTAAAGACCGTGTTTGATAATTGTCAATGAAGAGGAGCGCACCTTGATATCCACTTGCTCTGGCTTTGCATGAGAATATACTTTCCTCATGATCCTACGGGCCTCGGCGATATTTCCCCTCCGAATTAAGATACGAGCTGTGGAAAATGTGAATAAATACATCATAAATATGTCGCAACTATTATACTTGTACTTACGCGACTCAGGAAGGAAAATGAGAAAGATCATCTGGATACCTGCTGGTACACTCCCCAGCGCAACCATCCACCTCCATCCACTGTGTACATTGGCAAATCCGGCGTCAATACCATACGCAATGACCTGTCCCAGGGTGATCATGACGACGTTCAAAACTACCATGCGTCCTCTTAGTCGCGTGGGAGAGAGTTCTTGGATGTAGAGTGGTGCGATGCAGGAAGCTAGACCTACACCGAGACCGACTAGGAAACGACAGCCTATCTAAGAGGATAATTTAAACATGTTTGGGGATAAGGAGGCGGGGGTACTTACCATACTCCAGACGGTGTGACAGACAGCTTGACCTACGGCGCCACCGATGAATAGGATATCAGCGATGCCTAGAACGGGCCTGCGACCTGTCCAGTCAGACATTGCTCCAGCAGCAAGACCACCGAGAAGAGCACCCAGCGTCGTTGACGAGGTGATAAATTCCTTAAGATAGTAGGATGAGTGAGTGTCTGCAGTGCTACGCAAAGGCACCGAGTGATTACTTTTTGTCCGTCTGATAATTGCGCTGGACCAAGGTCTCCGTTGATGGTGACTAGTGCACCGGAGATGACACCGGTATCGTAGCCTACGAAAAGATGAGGACGAGTTGTATTAAAAAAATGTGAATAACGCACCGAAGAGCAAGCCGGATATACTACAACAGCAGACAAGAAGCCAGACAAACCAAGTTGTACGTTCCTCTCCTTCTGCTACAACTGCAAGCTCTGATATTTCACCAGCAGCAGTACTGCGAACCACTTCATCGTAAAAGTCAGAGTCATCCTTATCGTGAGCGTTCTTGGAGTCGATCGGAACGTCCGACTGAGAAAGGCGCTTCTCGTCGGTAGAGGTCATGGTCGTTCGTAAAGTAAAGAACGTTTAGTTCTTGGGGATATATGAGCGCTTTTCCAAGAATGATCATAAGGTCTCTTAACCGGACAAAACGCCATCACCAACAGCAAAATTGAATGGGCTTTTTCCCAGAAAAAATGGCAGATAAGCACGTGGTCCTTTTGCGCCGGAAGTAATATTACGACTAAGAGGTCAGGAATGGATGTGCCGCCATTATCAGTGTTTCATTTTGTTGACCTTATAGTATCCAAGACAGTACTGGATAAGTATGTGTTTTATGCAGACATCCGAGTCGTCGCTGGAGTCGACATGTGTGATTCAGAGTTGTATGAGCCATCGTCAACACCTGGACGGACTTTGAATTTACACCTTTGACCGAACCAAGTTGGCAGAACTTGGAATCAGCTAAAAGGTAACTGCATAAATACAGCGCAGACCTCATCCATAACGAGCAAACATGGTAAATATCACATCCCTAGCATCCCTCGCAACTCTGAATAACCACTGACAAGCCAACCCCAGGCTAGAAATGAAGAAAAAGCACAATCCATGCTCTACCGCTTTCGTGAGGCGCAGGCAGCAGAGCTTGGGCTTGGAACCAGGAGCGACCGTAGACCCAAGATGGCCAGTGCATGTAAGAGTCTGAGAGAGTGTGAGCGGTGGAGAGGTGAGATACTCAGAGAGATAAGCAGGAAAGTGTCCAAGATTCAAGACGGTGCGTCTCTTTCATTCGTCCTCTGTCAAGCTCATCTGATAATACCCCACACTATATACAGCTGGTATGACGGACTACGAAGTGCGCGACCTCAACGACGAGATCAACAAACTCATGCGCGAAAAGAGACATTGGGAGAACCAGATCGTCGCTCTGGGTGGTGCCAACTACAGGCGGAACGTCGCTATGCTCGACGATGATGGGAAAGAAGTACCAGGGACGAAAGGATACAAGTATGTACCCCCCTTTCATCGTCTATGCTTTGCTCATCCATATCTTCTTCTCCCCTCTAATAGATACTTTGGTCGCGCCAAAGACCTCCCTGGTGTCCGCGAGCTCTTTGAGAGCAGAAAAAAAGAGGAGGACGAGGAAAACCAAGCTCTCGCGTTCTACAAAAAGTTCATGAACCATGGCCCCGCGTATTTTGGGGACCTTGACGAGGGAGACGGCAAGTTGCTTGCATTCGAGAGGGAGGCAGAGGAAGGAGGTATGTTCGTTTCACTTCCCATCTTTTTCTTTCGTTACAGCCATTTGTCCTTGTCTCGTCGAAATACGGTCAAACTGATGTTTGGACATATTTTGAATTCAGAATGGACAGAAGCATGCACTCACGTGTGGACCATCCTTGGAATACCTACCAGCGAACCACACCCACAGTTCCCCGGATCTACCCAGTCAAAAGTTATCAGTTCCTCCTCGGACTCGCCCCCACTTCCACCACCAAATACGGCCTCCGCCAAACGAAAAGCCTCAGATCAAGATCAAGATGGTGATACCACTATGTCTACCGCCTCTTCTGACACGCGCGTCTCGGATCCATCATCGAAGCGTTCAAAAGCGTCCATTTCAAACACATCAGACCCATCTCCAACCGCTACCACAAATTCACAAACGGTCGCTACGACAAGCCCACATCTCGCCCACGCTCAAGCTGCTGCTTCGTACATCCCCTTTCTTTCCCCGGAGGACCTGCTCCCGCCTAAACTGCCGACGAGGGAGGAAATGGAAGGCGTTTTGCTGAGGTTGCGGAAGCAGGTACTAGTACAGGAGTATTTTGGGGAGGGGTAGTAAGGCCATTTGTGGTTGTGTTGTATGGAGGGTAATGTGAAGGCGAGAAGAAGGGAGAGAGTAGGGGGGAGATACAGGCTGACGTGACTTCTGCTAAGTGTAGCTTTCTTAGAAACTTCTTATTATTGTCAATGACATTACATTAGCCTACTCTCTACTGCCAACTCACCACTCGTGAGTCGTGTTCAAGTCTGACTTAACGGGTATCTACAGATGGGCCTCGGGAATTACCCCTGTTCACTATCATTATACCAATACACTGCGCATTCGAGCCTGGACAATATTGTGCAGGAGTGTCGAGGAACAAAGGAACAATCCGACCCCGGCTCCTGCATTCCCCGCAACTTGTTTACTCATGCTGGTATGATAATGATGAGACAGTATCGCATCATGGGATTGTAGAAGACGGGTACTGTTACCTGGCAGATGGGGCGCTTGGCTAAACGTATATAACGAGTACTAACTTTAGCTGTTTTATCAACTGCAATTCTCTCGAGGTCCTCGTCCCCTACAGCACACCGAAAGAAACAGCCTAAATATTCGCCTCTCTTGTTCACTTTTAGAAGTCAAATATCCGTATGTCCTCGCTTTCGGAATCACAGGTCAAATACGTAGAATACAGTTACTGGGGTATGGCTTTATCATTGAATATAAATTCTTGTGATCGAGCTCACTAGGAGTATCGCTCTTGCAGGGCTTCTTGTTGCGACCCTGTTAGTTTGTCTATCGCTCTCGTTCCTTCATGATGATTGACATCTTGCAAGTTTTATAGGGTGTATGTTCGTACAAAGCTATTATTATTTTCATAATTACAACGATCGGTGGCCCGTAAAAGCACTGGTGAATAACGTTCTCGTTTCCATGCAGTTACACTCTTACCCCCAGTCTGACAGGTATCATTTATCATGTGCGCAACATGCGTTATGAAAACACTACATGTCTTACCCGAATCTTCATTATAGTATTGTCGACGCATTCAATTGGCTATGTTTAGCCAAGCTGTTTTACTTCTACTTGGTAGGTTTCCAGTTTGTTATCAAGGATTTCAGCGTTTATGGAACGTTTCGTTTAGGCTGAAAACTATGACAACCCGGCCGCTCTTGCGCTTTTGCCATGGCATGTTATGTCCTTTTTTTACAGTTGCAACCGCTCGCTAAAGCCCAATGTAGGGAATATAGTGCAGAGACTGTCGCGCTTAGCCTCGTACAGACATTGTGCATAGTCCTACAACAGTCTTACCACAATATTTTTACTGATAATGATATAGGGTACAACTGTTCTTCGCTCACCAAATCTACACAGGTATGTCTATTGCGCTTGGTAGCGCCAAACGCTTTTGTTTATGTAGAACGTAGTCAATAGGAAGGGTTGGATAGTGGCTTCGGTCATAGTTAGTCTGTTTTTCAGAGGCATTTGTCAAGTGTTATATTTATGTTTTTCTTAGGCCTTTCTCGCGCTTCTTGGTTTTGGCAAGTGTCACATTATATGTTTTAGTTCTAACGAACGGACTCGTTGATTTTTGTCTTCTAGGTTTAGGGATCGGTAGGTCGTTACATCATGAATGATATGATGACGATATCACTAACTTCTATGAATCAAGCTACTTCTATCATGTTAGCGTGTCATTCAAACCTTGCGTATACTGACACAAGAGCCTTTGGAGTATGGCACGGTTTACGCACTATCTGTATTGTGGATTTCTGACTTGCTGAAATTTGTAGGTCATGACTGATTTACTTCTCATTGTGCCGACAATTTGTGATATAATTGCAACGGCCGCAATGCTGCGCTTTCTCGATCAAAAGGGGACAGGGCTGAAAAGGCAAGTAATACTTCAAATACATAAATGCCCTGTATCTTCTACCGCTGGTTGGACGAGAATTATGATTGATGCGTGCGTTACAGGACAAGAGGTACCCTTAGATCGATACAATTTTTGGTGCTTAACCGTGGAATACTCCTCATGTCCACGCAATGCACATGTCTCGTCCTCTGGCTTGTAGGAGAAACCTACTGGTACTGGTATGTCATCCCTTATTATATATGTTCGTGTCTTCATGCAGTATAATGGAACGACAAGGCTGCCTGTCCATATGAACGTTCCCACTATATATGTAAACACTATGCGTGAGATTTTGTTTATTTGCATAGTTATTGTAGGCGTAATGCTAAATGTTCATTGCAGTGATCTTGTGAGCATCGGAACTCGATTTCCATGACGCTCCTATGAGTGACTGTTGATATTTCCGATTCTAGGCTAAACGAACGTGCAAGTATCCGAGCGAAAGCGAAAGTTATCAATACATCTCTTCAGCTTACAACTCGCATCAGACAACCTTTGGAGTTCAATGTCATTAATTCGTCACGGCAGACCACTACCGATTCACATGAGGTCGCCTTGGGGTTATCGGTAAGCTGGAGAGGGTTGTTCTTTGAGGGGATGCTGAACCTTTTGTTTTTTTATATTAGAACCATTCATCGTCAAAGATCATCCATAGCCATTCGGATGCACCTAGTCTGACTACTGTGACTTCCGAGGGAAATACAGTGAATGACGGTGACCATCTTTGCTGAAGATAACTGGAGCACGCGAGGAATGTCGGAATGAGCACGATGTTCATCTTACGTCTTCACTGTTTATAGTTAGAGTAATGATCATCACATGTAGTCAATATAATTTGTCCAGTTTTTAGGAAACTTTTGTGATGGCTTAGATAGGATAGAGGTTGTCAACCTCTTAGGCTCTTGTAAACATGTCAACTCATCGTTCCCTCTTCACCCCGTTATTCAAATCCACCTGCCTACAACTTGAATATGGCAGCTATTCCGTGAATTTTTTCAACTCATCCCCAGGGCCTTCATACTTGCAACTTGCATCCATCTTCTCCTGAAATGTTTCCCTCTGAAGAATGTGTATCCAGGATGCAGAGGATGCAAGGCCATTTGAAAAATCACTTCATATGGAAGTACAGCTAAGAAAGCTATCAGAATCAGAAGAAAGAAAAGTTGTGTCACCTGACAAAACTGGATAAACCCGGTCTCTGCTAAAGCAGCCATTGTTCTCCATGGAGCATAATGGCTGCTTCATGGAGTCAGCATTGTTCTCCTAGGAGTCATTATACTATAGCAAGTAGCACCTCCGACTATAAGTAGTAGGGGGTTTAGTATAGGAATACCTCAGTCATTTCTATTGTTAGGCTATGAGAAGACTAAAAGAGAGTATTTCTCAGTCTTATAATCAAGAGACTGATATTGAAGGATAATATACCTAAAAGAGAGTATTTCTAATAGTGTAAAGTGAGTATGATGATATAAAGTAAACTGTAAAATAACCAGACATACCTCAGTCTTATAATCAAGAGACTGAGGTTTGTGTAAGGCAGAGTGCTACGAGTTTTTGGAATAAGTGTGGGAAAGTTTTGAGCTTATGTAATGTAGTGGAAAAGCGGTCAAGTAGAGATGAAAGAATGGTGTATGGAAATGAAGAAATAAAAGGATAAAATGATAGGATGTGAGTGTATCATAAACAGGATATGCCAACATCTATAGCCTCTTAGGCAGCGGCTGAGGTATGTTACATTACATTTATTAGAGATCACCTTAGACTAACATCTATTGTAGTTTTCACTTAGATTTATTAGGTTATGAGCTCTGGTGATGCAAAAGCTATGCAGGAAATAATTCTCATTTGAAACAGCAAACTTGGAACCATGACCACAGCACACGATACATCCGCATGTCCAGTTCTCACTGGACCCAATAATTTCCAGATATGGAAACTCCGGATCATCTCAAAGCTACGTCGGGAAAAGGTTCTCCAAGTTGTTACTGGAGAGGAGCTCAAGCCCTCACCAGCAAAGCCCACCTCCTCAGAGGATCCTGAAATCACCTGGATACTTAAGGATGAGAAGGCACATGGAATCATCCAGGACCACATCTCTGATGCCCTCCTAATGAGGAGGACTGGAGACCTCACCAGCTCCAAGGAGTTATTTGATAAACTTGTTTCACTCCATCAGATGTCCAACATTGCCTTGGCCTTCTATTCATTCCAGCAACTCACCAAATTGTCCTGGGATGGGACATCACCTATCCAGGACCACATTACGAAAATCCAGACAATTGATTCATACCTCTTGTTACGCACAAAGTGCTTAACAAAGTCTGAGGGTTTGTCGAGGTTTGTAAAGAGACTTATCCGAAGACAAGTTCGAGAACATAGTTCTGAGTGGAGGTTTTCCAACGGGAGTTGGTCTTCTTCTGAATAGAAGTCTGATCTTAGGAGTCTAGCTTTGTAAGCGTAAACTGCATAGAATCGTATTAGAGAATACTACTGCTGTTACATGGTATTTATAATGGAAAGGAATCGGTGATAGGAGTTAGGTCCTATCTAGGGCAGGTCTGTCTGTTCAGGACTGAGTACTATAATAGGTACTGTGAATGCGAGAGGAACGGAAGTATATGTGAAGGGAATGAGTCATCGGTCCGATGGTATAACCGATGAGTAAAAAGAAATGAGTAGTCCTTAAATGTCCAATAGAGATTGTAACATTACCCCCTTACTTGCTCCGAGTTTCACTGAAATTCGGTACCTTCGCCGTCCATATTGTAACTGTCGTCGTAGCTGACATCTCCATGTAATCCTTCCATCAGAATCCTATCCTCGTCTTCCCTGCAGATGGGACACCAATTGAAACTATGTCCCGGTGCACGACGGTCACAGTCGGGGCAATAGTAGGCTTTGCAATAGTATGTGCGATGATCGCTCCAACCGCAGTTTTGGCAGTATGGAGCGTTGTTACGAACGCCTTCATGGTATCTTTGTCAGGTGTTGGATGAGGTGTTGGATTGGGGAGTGGTTGGATTGTCATCTCCCAGGTTGTACGTTCCTGCGTACAACTAATCAATCATGGCTGCGTCGTCATCTACGTTGATTGGGTTAGAGGGAGAGCCAGTCTCAGGCCTGTGCATTGCACCAGGCGGACTGTCTTTCTGTCCCTTCAACATACGAGACTGCCGTTTTGATGGAGTTCTGGCGGCGGGGATCTGGAGTATCACCTCTTGCCGGCCGCGTCAGGCTCCTCGTCAGTTCGTCAGGTGATGGGTTGGGGCGTTTGGCACTGGTCAAGGTGGAGATGATGGGGGAGACGGTGGTTTTGGGTTCAACCCAATGGAACGGGGACTGGAGTGGCTCGACTCTTGTGAGATCGGGCTGGTTGGGACGGTGGGAATATATTTTTCCTCCGATGGGATGGGCATAGGTCGACAGGTGATGATGTGGTAAGTGCGCTCCGGGGTAACACTGGTCTGGTCTGGGTGCGACAGGGACCGGAGGGACAAACCGGGTGGAGGAGTACTCGTACAACCGTCTCGCTCTATCCGCGTGCGAGCTTCGTTTAGCAATGTCCTCCCGCCTGATTCCAAATATTCCTTTGCCGGGTCCATCTGCCCATTCAAGGAGCTCATCCTCAAGCGTCGTTCCAAAGATTCCAAAACTAACTTTTTCATCCGGAGTGCCCGACAGATACTCAAGTCCTGACTGTTGAGCCGCGAATGCTCGCTTTCCAACAAATGTATTGAGTCTATGGCTTTTATGAGTTCATCAGCTATGAGGTCTATGGCAAGGAAGGTATGCATGGAAGAAAGAGCGTGATACGCATGGGGGCAGCGTTTTTCGGTCTCGTAAAAGAGATAGGTATAGGCGTCTTTTGCTGACATTAATTCTATGGCGTCAGTGACATCGGCTTGGTTGTGTTGTTGCCCACGGGCAAAAGACACTCGTTCGTCGGCTACAAGTTGGCATCACCGGGTATCGAGTAGGTGGTGATAGGGAAGCCGGTGGAGTTAGAAGTAGACATGTTTTGTGTTGAGAGACAGAGGATTGTTGGTAGTGGGGTGATTGTCTCTTCAACACAGCTTGTGGTCCTTCTTATAGGCTTCCAATATCTCCACAGCATTGGTTAAATGTTCTTCCGGTTCCCATGAGTTTTCGGAATGAGGGTAATGGTGCTATTTAATCAGGTAGCGGCGCCCACGTTTCTAGGGTTTGTGTCTAAGAATACTTTCTACTTTGTATTCCTCTTCTTCGTTGACCAGATCAGGTGGTGGTCGGATAAAGTTTGGGCCGTGAGTGTTAGTTTCCATATACGGCGTGAAAAGGGATGCGTGGAAAACATTGTGTATCCTCCAATGGGGAGGCAGGGATAGTCGGTAGTTTACTGGGGAAATCTTTTCTTGGATGCGAAAAGGTCCGATGTGTTTCATGTTGAACTTCTTGTATTTGGTAGCTTTTTCTTGCAGGTTGGTGTTCTCTAACCACACCTTTTGTCCTTTGGAGAATCGCGTGAACTTTCCGTTGTTTCTTTTCATCATCTTGCTTCTTGCGAGTTCGTGTGCTTTTAGGGCGTTTTCCCTTGCCCTAAGCAGTTCGGATAATCGTTTTTCCACTGATGGGATATTCGTGGATCTGTGTTTAGTTGGGATTCCTCGGGGTTCATATCCCATGAGGAGGTAGAATGGTGATTGGTTGTTTGTGGAGTGTGGTCTTTGGTTGTGACAGAATTCGGCGGTAGTAAGGTATTTTGCCCAGCTGTGTGGTTGGTTCTGGCAAAATATGCGGAGGTAGATCTCCAGTTCTTGATTGGATTGTTCTGTTTGTCCATCCATCTGGGGATGATACACAGAGGAGAGTGCAGTTTCAATGTTCAGGAGTTTGTGGAGTTCTTTGGATACTTCAGAGGCAAACTGTGGTCCCCTGTCGGATATGAGTTTATCGTGCAATCCGAATCGTTTGAAGATGGAATTGTGAAAGATTCGTGCGGTTTTGAGTGCGTTGATGGTTTTATGACAAGGTGAGAGGATTACCCCCTTACTAAGACCTTGGTCTACCACGACCATTATACTGTCGTATCCTGAAGATTCTGGTAAATCAGTTATGAAGTCTACGGATAGGTACTTCATTGGTTCTGCGGTTTTTGTTACGATAACACAATTTCCGGACATCTCCTTTCCTTTTTATTCTCCGCTTTAACCTTATACTTTAAGTGCCACGCGGCATTTCCCTTTCTCGCGCCGCGTTGCCTTTCTTTTACTTTTAGACTTAACTCTCTCACGCAGTGGAGCTGGCCATACGGGCTAGACCCTATGACATCATCAGCCACTGCCTTCATCAACTGTATAGTACACATGTACAAACAAACCTGTAGTAGTATATATACCCCAATAGATCCAGGAGACTCCTCAGCGAGTCCTCCTGTTGTATACCAACTAACTCACTGCAGCCCAAGGGGTACCCACTCCCCATCTTCCACTACCTTTATAGTGTGTTCCTGTGTGCGCCAGAGTAACTAACTCTTGGTTGTTACAATTTTTGTCAGGCAACAAATACGAAGCTATATAACAAAGCCCAATGTCTGGTCAAGTCTTTCCTGGAAGGCGGTGAATCAGAGTATGAGAATGAAGAGTATCAGTAAGAGCGCAAATCCAAACTAATATTGAACTAGAGAATAATACATCGAGTATATACTTCTCTATATAGTGAACGGCGATGGTCAGACCGAGAAAGGGAAATACTGAGAAAGTGGTCTGACCAGCTAGCTAACCAATAAGAAAAAAGGAGAACATGGTCCGATCTATCGTATTTACTAATCATATGAGAAAATGTATTGGTAAGGGATATATGATTGGCTGTATCAGTAAGCCCATGAGAAGGCGCTGACTCACAACCTTCTTCACTTATCAATATCCCTCCAAAGTATTCCCAGACATAGCACTGGATCGTGGCTATGTCATCTGGATATCTTCTCGAGGATTGACAACAAGTCTACCTCGTTGTAGGTACGATAGAACGTGAGTGTGAAGAGAGAATAAGAAGAAAAACGATAAAAGTAATAAGACACCTGCTGTAATCTCTAGTCCAAGGGCAAGAGGAGTGACGGGGATTGAGTCTGCTAACCACGACATGATGGGAATGCGATAAGAAAAATCGATTCCTCACAGTTTTTGGGGTCTGGTTTGGGATTAATGGTACGGTGGTGGGATGCGTGTTTACTTTCACTTGTTGACAAGTTGCGCATCCTTTCACGTATTCTTCCACTTGTTTCATCATTCCTGGCCACCAATGGGCCTTTTTGATCAACTGGTAGGTTTTGAGCCTTCCTGGGTGTCCTGCGGACAGGGAATCGTGGTGATCTTTGATGATCGTCTTTTGTTCTTCTACTTCGTCAATCAGTAATTTATTCTGATAAAAGAACTGTCCTTCTTCTTTTCTCCAATCGTCTTTCTTCGTTCTTCCTGGATAATTATCGTTTGTGAGCATGGCTTGCTCGATTGTGTTTTCAATTGTTCATGTGTGATACAGGAACGCTGAGGCGGGTATCATTGGTGTGTCATCGTTGTCTCCTTCTGTTTGGACGTATAAATCAGGTCTTCTTGAGAGTGCATCGGGTACCACCATGTGGGTTCCTGGTACGTGCTCCAAGGTGTCATTGTATTGTGACAGTTCCAGCTGCCATCGTCTTTGTCGCGGTGTCAGTTTCCTGGCTTCTTGCCAGTACGTCAGGTTCTTGTGATCTGTCAGGATTTGGATTGTGTGGGGGCTTCCCAAAAGTAAGTGTTTCCACTCTTTTAAAGCTCTCATTACCGCTAATAACTCTTTGTCGTAGATCTGGTAGTTCTTTTCAGCGGGGGATAGTGTTTTGGAGAAAAATGCATATGGGTGCCATTGTCCTTGGTCATCGGGTTGCATTAATACAGCTCCTGTGGCGTGTTTGCTGGCGTCTGCAGCAATCCTTGACGGTTTCAAGGAGTCGGGAATTTGTGTTATGGGGGATTCGAGGAATTTTTGTTTCATCAATTTGAAAGTGTCGTCTTCAGTTTGGGTCCAGTTCCACTTCCTATCCTTTTCTAGTAAGGCATTCAAGGGTCTGGCAAGGTCAGAGTAATGACCGATAAACTTCCTGTAGAAGTTTCCGTAACCTAAGAACTTCCTTACGCCTTTGGTGTCTTTTGGGATTGGCCAATCGCGGATCCCAGCGAGTTTGGCTGGATCCATCGATACCTGATTGTGGGAAACAATCATTCCTAAGTATTCAATGGTTTCCGCTTCGAAGGTGCATTTTTCTAGTTTTAGGAATAGGTTGTTATCGCGTAGTCTTTGTAGAACCTGTCTCATTCGGATTCGGAGTCTTTCGATGTTGGTGTCAAAGATGAGGATGTCATCCATGTATATGATCATCCAACCTTCATTGATGTAGTCTTTGAATTTGTCGTTCATCAGCCTTTGGAATGTTGCCGGTGAATTGCACATGCCGAATAACATGACCGTTGGTTTGAACACTCCTTTGCTGGTTTTAAACGCAGCTTTCCATTCGTCTCCTTCTTTTATCCTTACATTGTTGTATCCCCAATGTAGATCTAGTTTCGTAAAGATGGTGGCTCCTTTCAATTTTTTGATGAGGTCGGGTATTAGGGGTAGTGGATAGGGGTCTTTCACGGTATATGCGTTCAGTTTTCTGTAATCTTGGCACAGTCAGAGTGATCCATCCTTCTTGCCGATGAAGAAGAAAGGGGACACCTGTGGCAACTTGCTCGGCCTGATGTATCCCTTTCTGTAGTTTTCCGTTAAGAACTCCGTTAATGCTTCGTCTTCCTTTGATGCCAATGGGTATAACTTGCAATCTGTTGGTACGAATTCTGGTTTCATGTTGATTGCATGATCATATTCCCGTCGCTTGGGGAGTCTTTCCGACTTCTTTTTGTCGAAAATGTCCAAATACCCTTTATATTCATCCGGGAGGTTATGCTCCTTCTTTTCTCCGTGTATTTGCGCGTGTTCCATTGCCAAGTTGACCTTTAATCGAATCATGGTTCGAGGATAGGGTTTTTGGTCGGATACGTATCTATGAATAGTTTCGTACACGTCTTTGTTTACTGCGGTTGTCCTGATTTTTGTTTCCGTGGTTGTTTGGTTCATCCTGATGGAGTGTTTGTCCGAGTTTGGTAATTCTTTGTCTTTCCAGTTAATGACAGGATTGACTTTTCGTAACCAGGGAAATCCCAGTAATACGTCTTCTCCGTCTAGTCCGGTCAATAGGAACTTTGTGAACCTGTTTTGTCCTCCTGCATCTATCCTCTGATAGGTGCAATGCGTAATTTTTCCATTTTTGTTCATGGTTCCATCAACATTTTTACATGTTATAGGAGTTGGGAGTTTTTGGAGGGGAGTCGGTGTCTGATGGTGAATTTTGTGTCCATGAAGTCGTCTGTAGCTCCTGAATCTATCAGGGCTTTGGTTCTGATGGTTTTCTGTTTCAACGAGCAATCAATTTGTAAAGAGTTGGCATTGATCGTCGCTATTGTTACAGTTGCCATTTTTGACAGTACTAACATCGGGGTAGTCTGTCATTTCAAAAACCCTCGTCTTCTAATTCTTTCATCGCCTCTGTTCTTTGATCTTCTCCTAACTCCCTCCACATCCTCATGATGTTTTGGACCCTGTCTTCTTCTACCACTGTTTTGGTGTCATCTTCCGTTTTGGTTTGACGTACCTTTCTTTCGGGAGTTTTTCCTTTGTTCCTACAATTCCTTCCTATGTGTCCTTTCTCGTTACATATAAAGCATCTTCCCTCTTTCCTCCTTGATTCTTCTTCATCTTTGGTTAATCTTCTGGTGCTAGTGGATGGTCCACTTTTGCGATTTCTGTCGTTCTGTCTTTCTTTGTTTCTGGCGCCCCATGCTCCTTCCGAGATAGCGTTGGCACTGATCCAGTTGGCTTCTAGGTTCGCTACTGTGCCCATCCAGTCTTCGGTGGTGAGTAGTTCCTTTCCGGTGAGTGCCCTGCAAAGGAGGGGTGGCCGGATAGCCTTTTGATAAACCATGATCATGGCTTCATTGTTGATGCCGCTTTTCCCAGCATCTAGCATAAACCTTGAGTTAAACGCTACTGCATTTTCTCCTTGTTCCATCTTCATTTTCATCAAGGCAGCCGAGGCCGTTCCTTTGACGTTTGCCGTTCTGAAACTGGCTGTGAAGGTTTTCATGAAGTCTGCCCATGTGGAGTAGGCATTCTTCTCTTTGTATTTGGTCATCTTGGCTTCGCTCCATGAGGCGGCGTTGCTGTCCTTCATGTAGCTGAGGGCCACATATACCTTTTTCTTGTCGGAGTTGTAGATGGTGTCGTTGATATCAAAGTGTAGATCGGTGGACAATATTCACCTTTGGGCTTTATCTGGGGTTCCATCGAAGTCATTGATTTTCCCAATCATCGTGGGTTTGGGGGCTGCAGCGTTAGACATGGTGTGTGGTGGTGGGATGTGGGATGGAGCAGGTGCGGCGGGGAGTATCTGTGGAGTGGGAGGTGGTATCGGGTTGCCGTCTGCTGCAAACTCTTCAAAGTCGTTCTCGTCGTAGAGGTTTTCTACGGTTACTGGGGGATCGTGTTGTGTTGTGGGCAGTAGCTGTGGGTGGCTTCCTGCGTAGTACTGTAGCCAACGTGTTCTGGCTTCATAGAAAGTGTCTGCTTGTTCTTTGGTGTGGAGTCGGGTTATGTCTGGTTGGGGAAAGGGAGGTGGTGCTGCTATCCTTTCTTGTTGGGATGACGTCGGTGGGGTTGCTGTTTGTGGGTTGTCTGAGCTTCCTCTTGCTCTCTGGGATCTGGTTGTTGGTCGTTGCGACGTCTTGTCGACTTTTTCTTCCCAAACCTAAATAGGTGGGACTTCTGGTTAGAATACGATTCTTTTGTTACGCACAAAGTGCTTAACAAAGCCTGAGGGTTTGTCGAGGTTTGTAAAGAGACTTATCCGAAGACAAGTTCGAGAACATAGTTCTGAGTGGAGGTTTTCCAACGGGAGTTGGTCTTCTTCTGAGTAGAAGTCTGATCTTAGGAGTCTAGCTTTGTAAGCGTAAACTGCGTAGAATTGTATTAGAGAATACTACTGCTATTACATGGTATTTATAATGGAGAGGAATTGGTGATAGGAGTTAGGTCCTATCTAGGGCAGGTCCGTCTGTTCAGGACTGAGTACTATAATAGGTACTGTGAATGCGAGAGGAACAGAAGTATATGTGAAGGAAATGAGTCATCGGTCCGATGGTATAACCGATGAGTAAAAAGAAATGAGTAGTCCTTAAATGTCCAATAGAGATTGTAACACCTCTCTGGAATGAAACTAGGAGTTGATACCAAACTCATGGCCTTTGCTCTTCTCCAATCTCTCCCATGCACTCCTGAACGGCAAATATTTCAGTCATTGGTAATCAACACGATTGAAGTAAATAAACTTACTTTTGATGCAGTTGAGATCCACATCACTGCAGAAGTTGCACAACAGTCAGGAAAGGCCCCTGGAGGTTTCAAATCAGCACTCAAGTCCAAGGAGAAGTGGTGTGACTTCCAAGAAGCCAAATCACACAACACCTCGGAGTGTCGAACACTTCAGTCAGCTGGAAAAGGTCAAAAGAAGAAGGGAAAGGAAAGACACAAGGATAAAGGAAAAGAGAAGGAAAAGGCAAATACGGCGGAGCAATCATCTGCATCTGACTCCAAGGAGGAACAGAGTCATATTGCATTGGAACATGTACATATTCCCAAGCCACTTGCTAAACACATTCAAGCTTACCTTGTGTTGGAACCCGATAAGACCAAAACAACAATCATCATTGACTCCGGAGCAACATCCCACATGGTCCCTCACCGCTCCTGGTTTGAGCCAGGAACATACCATGTTCTGAGTCCTCTGAGGACAATCAGTTTTGGGGATGAATCCTAAATGCCATTGGAATTGGAACAGTAATCCTACAAGCAACTGTTGGCAAAAAGGACTACAATATTGCACTGTCAAATGTCTTACTTGTGCCAAACTTCACTTTAGCACTTGTCTCTGTCCACAAATTATCTAAAACGGGGTTATCAACACTTTTTCCAGCAGGATTAAATGCTTGTGAAGTTCAAAAAAAGAAAGAACTTATCCTCACTGCCTTACACAAGCGAGGACTTTATCACATCCAAGCAAAACCTGAAATTAACCCAGAGTCAGCTTTTGCAGCAGTAGATGTATTTATTGCACAGGAGAATGGGACACATTGGAATAGACCACTTGCAACAGATGGTTACAAAAGGACAGCTCCAGGACATAGACATCCTTACTGGAACCCCAGAGTTCTGTGAACCTTGTGCTTTAGGAAAGATGAAGAAAATACCTTTCAAGTCCACTGGAGGAAACCAAGCCAAGCGCCCCATACAAATTGTGCACACAGACGTTGGAGGACCGATCAAACCAACCTCCAGGGTTTTCAGTACTGGATTATCATTGTAGATGATTTCTCCAAATTTCCATGAATATATTTCCTAAAACACAAAAGTGAAGCACTGGAACAATACAAGCAATGGAAAGAAGATGTCCAAACATTCTTCCAAACTCATTTGGGAGAAGAAAGCTTTACTCCACTGTACACAGAATTCCCTACGGAGCAATGGGGGAGGAGAACATACTGGCAATGCATTCAAAAATCAACTCCGAGGAGATGGTGTCATCCAAGAAACTACAGCTGTAGATACTCCGGAACAAAATGGCATTGCAGAACACATGAATTAGACATTGGCTACATTAGCAACCACTATGCTCCATGATTCCAAGCTCCCAAAGTCATTTTGGGTAGATGCCATGCAAACAGCTGCATATATCACAGCACGCAGCCCAGCATCAGGACTCCATGGAAAGGCCCCATATGAAATACTGTTTAAAAGGAGAGTTGATCCAACTTTGTTTCGCCCTTTCGGATGCCAAGCATATGCCTTGATTCCAAAAGACAAAAGGCAAGGGAAGTTTTACTCCAAGGGGTGCAAAGCCATAATGATTGGCTACACACATGGAAAGCAAGCCTACAAACTCCTAGACACTGAACAATGAACTGTGTTTTCCAGTTGGCATGTCATACTCAATGAATCCAGAAAGGTACAAAAGGACGACACTGCTCCCTGGGACACAGACCCTAGCACAGATCAGTGGGAGGGACTCATTCCAGAGAATGCTCACTATCCAGACCAAAATGCGTTGGAGGAGGATGATCCTGACCCTTGGATCCGAGATCCAAATGAATTGCAAATGGAACTGCATCTCCAAGGAGATGTTCTACAAGCAATAGAACCATATCAGCATGAAAATGTTCCAAGAGCAGTGGGGCAATACCTCCGTGGAGACGTTCCGAGAGCAGTGGGAGCACCTGATCAGCTAAAACACCCTCCACAACAGTCTCTACAACCAAGACCTGAACACTGGCCATCTTCAGAACGGAAAGCCAAAGTAGAGTTACAGTCAGTGGGAGGACAGCCCCAGCTGATGTGGAAAAAGTCCGAATACAGCTAGACAGCCTGTCCATTGGATCAGCTTCTGGAAGGCATACAACATCTCCAAGGAGTCATTCAACACCTACGAGGAGTCATTCAACACCTTCAGGAGTGAGTGAGGCAACAAATACACAAATGCATCTACTCCCTGGAGTACCTGCACAAGTTCCTAAAAGAGCAGTCATGCCTGCTAAAGTCCTAGGAGTACACAGAAGCAGTTGCCAGACCCGTCCTGCAGACAAAAACCGAGATTATCAAAGGACTCTAGATGAGGAACAGTCTCAAAAAGAGCAGCATAACAACTCCATGGAGAAACCTAACACTCCTGAGGTTCATGAAGAAACATCTGATACAGAGGAGATATTCTTTGCTGGAATAGCAAGTACCGGTCCATCTAATACAGACCTTCCAAGGACACTAAAGGAAGCCTTATCACGTCCGGATGGAGAATTATTGAAGTCTGCCTTGGAGGAGGAACTCCTAAGTCTCAATATTAATGCAGTATATGACACGGTCCCACTTCCAAAGGGAGTGAAACCTATCACATCAAAACCTGTTTTCCGGATCAAGTTTGATCAAAATGGAAACATTGAGAGATACAAACTCCGGATTGTTGCACGAGGTTTTACTCAAAGGGAGGGGCTTGATTACCAGGAAGTTTTTGCTCTGATTGCAAACTTAGAGTCAATTCAAATTATTCTAGCCCTGGCAGAAAAGTACAACCTCGAAGTTGATCAAATGGATGTATGCACAGCTTATCTCAATGGAGAACTTGAAGAAAAACTGTACATGCTTCCTCCAGGGGGTGTTCCTATCCAACCTGGATACCGCTGGAGGTTGAAAAAATCCATCTACGGATTAAAACAAGCTGGTTGTACATGGAACAAAACCTTTGATTGCAAACTCCAGGAGCTTGGTTTCACAAGACTAAATGCAGAAACATGTCTCTATGTATTCCGGGACAACAAACAAATATGCTTTGTTGTTGTCTATGTAGATGACCTCCTCCTAGGAGCTTCATCCTGAAAATTCATAGATATCACAAAAGCCAAACTTGAATCCATATTCAAAATGCGGGACTCTGGAGAAGCAAAATACATCCTTGGAATAGAAATCCAACGTGGTTGTTCAAACAAACAATCTCCCTATTGCAATGCCAATACATTGACACAGTCCTGGAGTGTACTGGAATGAAGAACTGCAAACTAGTATGGACACCAATGGCCCATGGATCAAAACTCCTCGCCAATGCTCCAGGGGAAGATATTGTGCAACATGAGATGCATATTGAAGGACATCAAGTGCCATACCTCTCAATTGTAGGCTCCCTCATGTATACCATACTCAGAACCCGCCCAGACATTGCCTATGTTGGAATACTAAGCAGACATAGCTCAGCTCCAAGGAGCCATCACTGGGAAGCTGCAAAATGTGTCCTCCAATATCTGAAAGCAACCAGGGACATGAAACTACATTATGATGGCACAGATATCTCCATGGACATGGATTTCTATGGATATTCGGATGCAGATTGGTCTGGAGACCCAGACACATCTTGATCAACATCAGGCTTTGTTTTTATCACCATCTGAGGAGCAATCTCCTGGACAAGCAAAAGACAAAGCATGGTAGCTTTATCCTCCAAGGAGTCCGAGTACATTGGATTGAGCAATGCTGGACAACATATTGCATGGCTTCGGACATTTTTTGAAGAAATTGGACATGCTCAAAATGGACCTACAACATTGCACTGTGACAATCAAGCAGCTATCATTCTTACACAAGATCCACAGTTCCGTGCTCGCACAAAACACATTCAACGGAAATATCATTTTATCCGAGATGACTTAGTATCAAAAGGAGAGGCAGTAATCAGATATGTTCCTACAGGAGATATGGTTGCTGACATTCTCACTAAACCCCTCACTCATGAAAAACACTGGAAATTCTCTAAAGCTATGGGACTACAGTTGCACTCGAGTGGGAGTGACAAAACCGGATAAACCCAGTCTCTGCCAAAGCAGCCATTGTTCTCCATGGAGTCACCATTGTTCTCCTAGGAGTCATTATATGTGAGGCAACGATAAACCATAACAAAAAACAAAACCTGTCTCCTACTGCACTTGCAGGGAGTAAGGGGTTCAATAAGCTTTGAGGTCGACAGACGCTAGTAAATATAGCGAGTAGAGGGCTTGGGAAGTAAACTCAAGGGTTTTGGTTGAGGAGTAAAGCGGGTAAATCAAGTAATAGAAAACTAAGGAATTATACATGAATAGGTAAGGCTTTATATAGCTAACCGTCCATTCCTCAGACCGAAAGGAGAATAGACGAAAAGTGGTCTGAGGAATAAATCGTCCAATAAGAAAAAAGGGAACAACTATTGTACTGTTACGATCTCTATTGGACATTTAAGGACTGCTCATTTCTTTTTACTCATCGGTTATACCATTGGACCGATGACTCATTTTCTTCACTTACACTTTTGTTCCTCTCGCATTTGCAGTACCTATTATAGTACTTAGTCCTGAACAGACGGACCTGCCCTAGATAGGACCTAACTCCTATCACCAATTCCTCTCCATTATAAATACCATGTAATAGCAGTAGTATTCTCTAATACAATTCTACGCAGTTTACGCTTACAAAGCTAGACTCCTAAGATCAGACTTCTACTCAGAAGAAGACCAACTCCCGTTGGAAAACCTCCACTCAGAACTATGTTCTCGAACTTGTCTTC